ATGTTGCCATTGCAAATTCTGGCACTAACAATATATTTTTACTTCGTAGATATGGATTTCTCGGTAGTAAAACTTCTTATATTCTACGCGATGAATATCGTTCGTATTTGATTGCACTCAAAGATTGAAATCAAGACGATAGAATGGACATTGTGTTTGGCAGTTATAGCACAGATCATATAGACACTTTAATAAAAATGTGTTTATGTCACTATTCTCACATATACTTTTTCATTTTCTCTTTAGTATTAAATAACTGAGTTTCTTTTCAATCAGTGTGAGCTGTTGTCCTTGTCTCTTTCATTCATATGCGATTAATTACTCCATAAATAAAGATATGTTTGCATGATGATCTTGATATAACATGCTAAGTGTTGATATCATTTTACAGAACAAGAAATACATAAGTATACCGATTGTAAATGTATTGGTGATCTTTATCAGCAAATATTGATCTACTCATGCTTATTTGAGAATAAAGTCCAATTTCTTATATGTTATTAATCAGAAGGAATAAAATAATAGATAAGCAAATGAAAAATTGTTTTGACCCCACTTATCTTCCGATGATAGAAGGGCCTGGGGTGCGGGTAAATTTTGTATTCAACCACATCGATATTCACATTAGTGCACTCAATTATCAGTCGTTAGTTTTTTCTCGCTGTAATGGCACGAAAGGCAAAAAAAAGCAGGAGAAATACGGAAAGAACGAGCTACACGTGGTAATTAGCACATTCATGAAAAACACCTAATCAATGAATATGTTATGCTTCATTGATTCAAATAACCATATGTGTAAGTTGGATAAAAATCGAGCAATTATATTAACAATAGATACGGAGCAAAATTTATCAAGAAGGCACACAGCAAAATTCATTAACTTTCTTATCATTCAGCGCGTAAGTATATGTAGTTTTCAACATGATTAGACTAATCATAAAACAGAAGGTGATAGTAAATAACATTTACAAACAAAACAATCACAGATCATAAAAATGAGGCATTTTAATTACTAGCAAATTATCTTTTAAGGGGGACCCCCTCCTCTCAGAAACCAACTTTGTTATTTTTCGTCTGATTTCAACCAAATTTTGGGAGAATATTAGTCTAGGCTAGGATAGATTATGGGTGAAATATCTCCCACAAACCTCTAGTATACTAACGTGTTATAGTCAATTTATTGGTAAAAAGTACTCTATACGCGGGCAGGGTTTTCACCACGAGGGCTAGGAGCAAAGAGGCCGGGATGTTTTTAGGCTATAGAATGGCTCTAGGGCTAGGTCATGACAGAGTCCAATTTTTGAATTTTCCTTCTTTTGTTTTTTAAAAATCCTATTTTCAAAAATTTTTGGTCTCATGACAAAAAAATCACCGATCAGAATGAAAGATATACGGTTTTTATTTCAGCAAAAGAGAAATTCAAAAATCCGGCTCCGTGACGACCTAGCCCTACCTGTCTACTATACAATAAAAAAAATATATCACTTCTATACCGAGTCGTTATAATGAAAAGCCTGCCCGCGTAAACGGCATGCTCGAAAAAGCTGGTTTTGAGAAAAACGAAAAACAAAATTTTTGATGGAGTTAACGTCTTTATTCGAAATAAATCTGTTTATTAGTTTAATATTTCTGCACTATTCGTCAAGCTTTATTACTAGCGCGTATGGAGATATATCGTAATACGGTTAGAAGTACATACCGTGCCTAAACTATGATCATGGTTCCTTATACATAGATGCCACTTTAAGTCACGCATGTTTGTACGAATTTTTCGGTTAACACAAAAGATTAAATTTTTATGGCATATGTAACTAGTCAAGGTCTTTTAGTTCTGAAAGTTTCAGCTCTATAGCTGGCAATAATGATGAAGTACATCGATTTATTTGAAATACATAATTTTCATAACTTGTTTTTTTTTTGACTCATTTTCAGAAAAAGTTAGGTACGAGTATTTGTGTATCTCAACTTGACTGATATATTTTATCATTAGTGCTAGCTATACAGCTGAAACTTTTGGGATTAAAAGACCACGATTGGTTACACATGTCATAAAAATTTCAGCTCTGTCAGATATACAAAAGTATGAAAACTATCATTAACAGTATATCATCAGTTATTATGCAACACTCTTTATTACTCATCATCACATCTTCAGAAAAAAACAAGACCTATCAGAATATGTATAAATCCTAAAATCGAATTTTTTTCGAAAAATTGACTTTCCTGAGGGGGGGGGGTCCCCCTTAATCGAATACTTTTCATTCTCAAAAAGAAGCAGAATTCTCAAGAGTACTTTTCGCAACGTCAAAAATTGATTGCTGTAAAATATTTACTGTAATGAAATAAAAAGTACACAATAAACATTAGCTTTATATTGTAGTTTGTGGAGCTACTTCAATAATTTATTATGAGCCATCCACTATGTAGCTTTTAGAGGATAGAAAGTTATTAATGTAAAAGAAAAGATAGGCTACAGCAAAGTACAAAACTAATAATTCTGAAATTTTGCACATAATCCTAAATATATCTAAGCATTATAACAGATTACTTGAACACAAAATGAGACTTTTAAACGAATCAAGGGATAAAAAGACTTTTTTAGTTCTGTGTGGATTTTGATCAGCGGAAACATTAGTTATTTTCATACTGTAGTAGTAAGGTTATTGAAATAAATAGAGCGAGAAAACTCGATGGAATAATATTCATATAAGCATAAAAAGAAATTACTATAGTTAGACTTTTTTTTGCTGAACTTTTATGGTACTTTCTAAGACTGTGCTGCGCTACATAAAATGAATGAAGTGATTATTTTCAGAAACGAGAAGCTGATCTCTTATATATCTAGTTTGTTGTGCGTGTTATTACATAATTCTACTATTTGGCTTAGTTTATACACCATTCTATATAAATAAAAGGTTTTGTTATGAATCGTAATGATACAATTAGTGAAGTCATTCCTGCTAAAGATTTTATTTTCTTCTTTAATGCATGTACATAAAACTGTCACAGGTTTCAATATCCCCAATAAAAGAAGGTTCACATTATAAACCAACTTGAAGTTGCAAGCGGTCATGTCTTTAATTCATGGTTTGACCGGGGGCTGAATCTACAAAGACCAAAATCAGATGACGCGCAAGCCTTACCTAGTCTATCAGCTCCGTTGCTTAAGTCATACTTAGCAACAAATGTTTGTTTGTTGTTTTGTACACTATTATATCAAGAGATTTATCTTGTGACGAAAGTATGTTCTTTCTATTCTTTTATAATATCGTCATACTGTGTGATAGGGATTTTTTCTTTCCTTTATTTAATGACCTTTTTTTTATAATGGATAAGGGAGGAGAAAGACTTGCAAGAGAAGAAGACCAGCATATTTTCTGTTGCTTGGTTTTTGTTGCTTTACTGTTTATTTTTGTTTTGTGAGTGAAAACCTGATTAAAAGAAAAAGTAAAAGAACCTAACAAATACGTCAACAAACTGATATCGCATATCATAATATGCGTAGACCAATATTTGTAGTGTTAAGACACTCTAAGTCAATTTCAAGGTGAATAACGTCCTCTATTTAAGCGCTTTACACATACAAAAAGCCAGTTAATTTAATAACAGAAATTCTTCAAAAGATGTCAATACGCTGGATCCCCGTTTTTGTGTGCTTCATTTTGGTCATCCTAGGTCAACAGTTGGCTATGGGAGGTGAGTGAATCGTATCATTTGATTTTATATTAAAGAGTTGAATCGTACTATTCTATAGAACAAAGACGTTGCCGATGTCTTGCAGACAACCCGTTGTGTTGGCCAAATGTATCTGCATGGCAAATGTTCAACGCGAGTATTGGTGGACGTCTTCTATTACCTAAACCATCGGCAGCTGTATGCAATGGAAAAACATATGATGCTCAGGCGTGCACTATAGCCAAAATGCAATGGATAAATTCAACGTGGCGTGGTGATCAACTGGGTGCCATGCAAAACCATAACTGGGAAAATAGTTCATGTTCGATTTCGACGAATAATACTGCATGCAATCAAGGTTCTGTACCTGTATACGGCGTTCGTGCAGCATCACCTGAGCATGTTCAAGAAACTGTTCGATTCGCTACTGCGAACAATCTTCGTTTAGTTATCAAAAGTACTGGACATGATTACCTAGGTCGATCGACAGCTGCTGGATCTCTACTTTTATGGCTTCATCAGATGAAAACAATGACGTTGATTCCACGTTATTCATCTTGTAGTGGTGAAACTATATCTAATGCGGCTCGTATTGATGCAGGTGTTCAATGGGGTGAAGCGTATCGATGGCTGAATGAATACAATTTGACAGCTATTGGTGGAGCATCTGCCACTGTCGGGGTAGCTGGGGGCTATTTGCAAGGGGGTGGCCACAGTCCATTATCTCGTTGGAAAGGCTTGGCTGCTGATCAAGTACTCGAATATGATGTTGTAACTGCAGATGGGCAACGACAAACAGTAAATGTATGTAATAATGGTGATTTATTCTGGGCATTGAATGGTGGTGGTGGTGGCACTTATGCCATTGTACTTTCCGTTGTTCTAAAAACGTTTCCTACGCCAAGTGTTGCTGTTGCTACATACGAAATAACAGCACCAAATACGGCTCGGTATAGAAAATTGGTAGAAGATTGCATTCGGTTTGTATCAACAGTTATTGATGCTGGTTGGTCTGGCTATTTCAGTATGGCAGATATGGTATTCAGGGGTATATTTCACGTACCCAATGGAGATTTAGCGGCAGTCACCAACGCACTAAGAGAATTTGCAGCTAGGAATCCTGATTTAGATTTTGGAAAGACATTGTTTTTCAGTTTTTCATCATTTTATGATTATTTTATGTTCGCATTGGAACCATCGAACCCTACTGGATTCAATGTCCTACTCAGTTCACGGCTCATTCCAGAAACAACCGTTCGTAATTTACCAGAAAAGGTTGCTGACGCCTTTTTCAAAGCGCGAGGCCAATCAGGGAATGGATCGGTACTTTTAGGTCATATCGTAGCCGGTGGACAAGTATCACACATATCAAACACAAATAATAGTGTCAATCCAGGCTGGCGTACTGCTCTGCTTCACATGGTCTATTCTCAAGGTTGGTTAGATACAACGCCCGAAGATATTCAACAATTCTTAGCTACAGAAGTCACACGTCGAGCAACAATTTTAGATGAATTATCAACGAATTCCCAGTTAAGTTGTTACACCAATGAAGCTGATCCAAACGAAGTAAATTGGCAAACGAACTTTTTTGGTTCACAAGCTATTTATAATCAATTGAAAGCTATCAAAGATAAATATGATCCACTTGGACTGTTTGTTTGCAAAAATTGTGTTGGTAGTGACGACTGGACATCAGACCTCAATTGTCCTATAACACCGGGCTCTTCGACAACTTCAAAGCTTTCCACAGCACCGGGCTCTTCGACAACTCCAAAGTTTTCCACAGCATCGACTTCTCTCAAACTCAGCTTAAAATTATCATTCATGATGGGATTATTTTTTCTATTATTGCATTAATATCGGCACAGAACTGAAAGATGAGCAGTAATCATTTTCAGTACATACTTTTAACATAAAAAATAATCATGTATTGCATTTTCTTCTCTTTTTGCATATATTGATTATCAATAAGCTTCTTCAAGAAAATGTGAGACTGATGTGTCAGGGTGTGGGTATACTGGTGTAGGTGTTGCTGTGTGTGTAAGCGAATAGAGTAACTACATCCATAGCCATATGCCACTAACATCCGTAACCAGCCTCACACAACCACAACAGAAAGTCACATTCTCATCTGCACCACTCACAGTCACACACCTACTTTCCTTCGACATAAAGGTACTTATAAATGAAGAAACGAAGTATCAATCAATGAAATTGTCATAATGTCGTTTACATTTCAGTGCTAAAGTAAAAAAAAATGCTGTTAACATAATGTCCGTAGTATTAAATGTTGTTATTTCCAGAATTCTGTAAAGTTGCAATAAAGCAGTTCATAGATTATAACAAAATCGTAGTGATATACAATCTGTAAGGAATTGGTTCAGATTTCGACCTTTTGCATTTCAATACTCCTTTTATATCTGAACATAAATATAAAATAATTACTACTTAGATTCTCCAATTCGTCATTTAATAGCTGATCTTGAACAGACACGTGAACAACTTGATGACGAACAACAAGCTAAGAGTGAACTTCAAAAGACTATTACTAAACTTACTCCTGAAGTGCAACAATGGCGAGCTCGTTTTGAATCTGAAGGTTAAGTATTATCAATTTTAAATTCTATTCTATAAATACAAAAGATTTTATTATAATATAGGTGTTGCTCGTAGTGCAGAATTTAAAGAAGCTAAATGAATATTAGCTGCTAAAATAAGCGAAGCTGAAAAACAAGTTGAAGTTCCTTTGAATAGATATATTGCGCGAGAAAAAAAAAGTAAAGCACATCTTCACAGTGAAGTTGAAGATCGTATGGTTAATGTTGGACATGCCAATTCAAGTAAGTTTATTTGAAAAATTTATATACAAAGTAATTCATATTTCTTTTTTATCTTAAGATGCATCGGCTATGGATAAGAAACCGAAACAATTTGGTAAATTAATTAAGGATTGGAAACAAAAATGTGAAAATATTACTGCTGAATTAAAAACATTACAAAAATAATCACGACATTTATCATCACAATTATTGAAAGTTAAAGCACAATATGAAGAAATACGAGAACAAATCGATTGACTTCGTAGAGAAAATAGAAACTTGAATGATGAAATTAAAGTTTGTTTCCTTTGAAAAACTTTTGATAAATAAAAAAAACAAAGAAATCATTTTTCTTTTCATTAGGATCTTGTTGCACAATTAAGTGATGGTCGAAAATCAGTTCATGAATTAGAAAAAGAAGAATTACAAGCTGCATTAAAAGATGCTGAATCATCACTTCAACAAGAAGAAGCTAAAGTGCTTCGTGTTCAATTAGAATTAAGTGCTATTCTACAATAAATTGATCGACGATTTCAAGATAAACATCAAGAATTAGCAAATATCAAAACGTAATCATCAACATCCATTGGAATCAATGCAAGCTAATTTAGAAGGCCAATCACGAGCAAAACTTGAAGTACTTAAACAGGTAGAAAAATAAGAAAAGAACGAAACACGTTATATCAAAATATGTTGCTTTTAGAAAAAAGAAACTTGAAACAGATATCAATCAACTTGAAGTTTCTCTTGATCATGCCAATCGTACAAATACTGATTGACAAAATACATTAAAACGGATGCAGCAAAATATTGCCAAATTACAAGTACAAATTGAAGCCAAACAACAACAATATGATGAAGCTTATGAAGTAGCGGCTGGAGTTGAACGTCGTATTAATACTATAACTGGTGACATTGAAGAACTACGTACGTCTCCAGAATAAGCTGAACATGCTCATAAAGTTGCTGAAAATGAATTACTGGATGCAGCTGATCGTATTAGTGAGACAAGTTCACAAACTGGTAATTTAGCTTCTCAAGGATGACAACTTGAATCAACATTGACCGCTATGCAAACTGATTTGGATGGAGCTGTAAATGAACTTAAAAATACTGAAGAACATGCTAAGGCAGCTAGTACGGATGGTTCACGTCTTATTGAAAAATTACATCAAGAACAAGAAGGTACTTTACAAGTTGAACGATTACATAAAGGTCTTGAGCAGCAAATTAAAGAACTACGAATATGTTTGGAAGAAGTAGATGCTAGTTCACTAACTTGAACAACGTGTAAGATAAAACATATAAGTTAGTTTATTTTTAAAATGATTATATTACTGTTTTAGATTCATGAATTAGAAACTGAAAATGAATTAGAACAAGATCGTCATTAAGAAACACTTAAAGAATTACGGGAAAATGATCTACGTATGAAAGAATGTACACAATAAGTTGAAGAAGATTATAAGAATCTATTACGTTTACAAGAAGTTAATGAAACATTATAATCAAGAGTTAGAAACTACAAACATTAAGTCGAAGAAGCTGGCATATAAGAGAAGGTAGTTTCAGTAATGTTGAGCATCTTTCATTTTTAGAGGAAATTGCGTCAATGAATTTGTCTAAATTTCCTAAAATCTAATCAGAACTTGATGAGCTCATTGATGAAATAAAAAGATAAATCTGAACATTAGTTTTGATTTACTTTCGTTGATGAATCAAATGTACGTGCTAATTCAGCTGAACTTCAACCTGGAAAATTACGCAATTCAAGTCGATCATCTGTTGATGTTTCTCGTACCTCAGAAGCTATAAGTTAATGCATATATTGTGAAGTGTAGGGTGTGGGTGTGGGTGTAGGTGCGGGTGTGGGTGTGGGTGTTAGTGTGGGTGTGGGTGTAGGTGCGGGTGTGGGTGTGGGTGTTAGTGTGGGTGTGGGTGTAGGTGCGGGTGTGGGTGTGGATGTTAGTGTGGGTGTGAGTGTAGGTGCGGGTGTGGGTGTTGGTGAGTTTGGGATTAGAGTTCAATGATACTCACATCTACATCCAACCACCCTCACCCACATCAACACCCACACCTCATACGCCCAAACCCCGCACACCCACACCCACACCCACCCACCATCCCCCACACCCACACCCACACCCTCCATTAATGATATGGATGGATTTTTTCGTTCGAATATGAAGAAGCTAAAACCAGTTGGTGTTGGCATTCGATACGATTTCCATAATATCAATGAATTTATCTTGCTTTTCAAAAATTATCAATGATATATAGATTAAATGGCCACCTGTATTGTGCGAGTGTAGATTTGCTTTTTTCTCATAAATACACACATAAGGAATGAAAAGGTGAATGGTATGAACACCGGTAGAGATTGAAAAGTCTAAACGTAATAACATGATAGATTTGATTTTGTATAAGTCTGTTCAAATCGCTTGGTCTTGTATTCTTACTAGGATCGAGGGTGTGAGTGTGGGTGTGGGTGTGTGGGTGTGGGTGTGGGTGTGGGTGTGGGTGTGGGTAGGTGTGGGTGGGTGTGGGTATGGGTGGGTGTGGGTATGGGTGGGTGTGGTGTGAGTGGGTGTGGGTATGGGTGGGTGTGGTGTGGGTGTGTGTGAGTGGGTGTGGGATGAGGTGTGGGGTGTGGGTGTCGGTGTGGATGTGGGTGTGGGCATGGTTGTATACAAAGAAGTCTCACACCCACACTCGAACACCACCCACACCCGACCCACACCTACACCTCATCCACACCCGCACTCACACGCCCCACCCGCACCCGCACCCACATCCACACTCACACACCCCACCCACACCCACACTCACACCCTCACTCCCGATAGCCACACCCACGTCCCACAGCCACATCCGCACCCATCGATTTGATGGGTCAGTAGCATTATACACTCGTACAACAGCTGAACAAAGACCAGTATTAATAAAAAAGAAACTTCCAACTGATGACCCAATGACGACCACAACATTTGGCTGTTTATTTAAAGGTGGAATAAAAAGAAATAGGAAACAATTACAAATATTTGCAATTGTACCCACAATAATAATTGATAAAGCAAAAGTTTGGTAAAGACGACCTCCGACAGACAATATATAAAGAGCTGTAGCTACTTCAGAAGCCATTTTTAATTCATCTAAATAAACATCATACTTCAGTTGCACATAGCTCTAATGATCTCAACGAGACAGTTAGCTATTATATATGCGTGACCACAAAGACGCGTCAAACCAGAGAAAAAGAAAACTTTTCACAAATTACGATTTAGATCAAAAACAAAAAAGAAGAAAATAATCTTTATCGTGCACTCTTATTGGTTATTATATAGCTGTTGAGGACAGAACTTTCTTTTTTTTTCTATCTCTAATTTGTTCTCAATGTTGTTTCTTTCGATGACGTATTAGGTGCGTGTTAAATCACAGGTCTAACTAACTTCATATAAGATATACACTGACATAGAACAAAAAAATGAGTCAATTCTTTTTTTCTTTTAAAATAAGAAATCATTAATTGTGTTTACCGTGTGTCAATAATTAACAGAATTATTTTGTAGCTAGAACACTTCTATATTCAATTGCAAAATGGAAACCAGTAGAACTAAAGTCTATTGAAGAGAATATTTTCTACTGGTAAGGTCAAATAATATAATTAATTTTGAAAAAACTAAATAATGTCATTCTGCCATTGATCATCATTTAAAAAATGTTATAGGTTAAGATGAGATCTCTCAAATATACATCGTGTCAAATGTCTGTGACCTTAAAAATGTTCCTACTCATCTCAAGGTAGTTATAGATCTGAATTTTACTTTTGTTTAAATAATCCTTGATTAAAAATTCAATATAGAATGGAACTACAAATGTTTTTTTTGGTTTATTGAACATAATCAATGATGACTGAAATGAGGACGATGCTGAACTGTGTCTCACGACGCCATTATCGTCATCATCGCATCATTTCGATTCATATTCATAAATTGTTGACTTACAAGTTAATTATTTTGTCGAATAGTAGTAGCTTGTTGCGTCTGCTGCTGAGCAAGTTATTGATTTCTCCGAATTGAAGATCGATATGATTGGATGATAGTTGACGAAATCAAATGATTTGTAAATTCGTTTGTTGTGCAATTCGATCATTTTCTTGAGAATCAATGAACTATATTCGATTTGTGGCTTGTAGAAATACGATCGTATATATCAGATGAATGACGAAATTGAGATAAAAAAGGATGAAAATATATATATAGCTGTGCATACGTCAAATGATTAAGATATCCCAAGCTGATCAGATATGTGTAATTGGATGAGTAACTAATGCTTTATCTACGTCATTCGTTGCTACAGTTTGATCATACAATGAAGAAATAAAAACGTTCTATTCTCCTTCTACAACTCGAGTTATGGGCATTCGTTGCTCATTTGAACTTTCTTACGTACATATCATGTAGAACGAAATTAAATTTTAACTTAACATTGAAAATTGCTTTATTTATCATGGTTTGTCGAAGAAATGGTCATTGGTTGATTGATATAGTTTCGACTGTTAAATTGACCTTGAAATATTCAAGTTATTAGTGAGAAAAAAATAAATCATTTAAAATGTTTAAGTATTTTTATTGGTGTTTCGTAGATTTCGATCAGAAAAACTAGCTTGGATAAATAGCAAAATCATGATATAAGACAGCTTCATGGCAGTTAGCGCTTATTATTCAAGAAAAACTTGGAAAATTAAAAAAACATAGGTGATTAATTGTAAGCTGTTGGCCATGGTGATCATTGTCATACCATTTCGGGTTGTGGTGATCATTGGTGTACTAGTTGTGGGTGTAGTAATCATTGTCGTGTCACTAGTAGTTTGGGTCACCATCGGTGTACTAGTTGTGGATGTAGTAATCATTGTCGTATCACTAGTAGTTTGGGTCACCATCGTTGTACTACTGGAACCAAAAAATACATCAAAATCAAATTCTATTTTGTATCTGCTTTGTATTTGTCGTATATTGTCCAATGAATTACAATAGTTACTTGTGTTACAAAGATAATCTAATTGTTGTAAATAACTAATACGTTTGTCTAGTAAATGTATTCTTTCATCAATGTATAAAAATCGTTCTGTCGTTTCCTGCTCGCAATATGAACACATTCTTTCAGTTTTTAAGTCTACTGGATCAATTCTGATTGCTGTTACACAATATGTTGGACAAGTCTCATCAGAATTTGATGATTTACGAACATGAAATGGTGGGCGACATTCATCGGTGCTTGTAAAGTTTGAAAATGTTGTACACAAAAGAGTTGAAGTTGATGGGGATGGATCAGCTGTCAATCGTAAATGAGGAGGTTTGTATGTTTCAATTGTTGATGCTTGAAGTATTCGTTTTAATATCATTTGTGGATTATTGCAATTATCTGTCATACATTGATACAAAATGCCGAATGCCACAATTTCATCAAAACTCTTAGGAACATCAAATCCAGTTAAAATATAAGGAACATTTGCGCGTTCAGTACCGGTGTTTGGATTGGCTCTTAATTTACTTGTTTTTCCATTGTCATCCGAATAAATATTTAGTGAGCAAAAATTTTCCGTTGTAATAGTTGTTGTACAATTAGTAAATATCGGAATATTATCCGGTGTTATCAGAAAATCATAATGTTTTAGTGGACAATCATAACAGCTTAACATTGAAACTGATGCTATTGTTATTGACAACAACAGGATAAATGTATATAACGTGCTACACTTCATATTTCTAAAACAGAAGACAAGAAAAACAATTAGCCTATTTTCCTAACTTTGAAGTCGCTAATGAAGCATATTAATCTATCTCATGCAGGGATAGAGAACCAATTATAACTATAGCCCCAAGACATTAGCGACACTGCTGCGTATTTAGCCGCTATAACAACAATTTTTATTCAATAAGATAAATAATTATTCATTTCCAACTCGAATGGAGTTCATATTTTTTTTTTGAATAAATTGTGATGAATAGCACGTGACACTTTGGTAAGAAGACCTGACTATGTCACGTCAATCTTCGAGAACAAGTTAAACATTTCTTAATCTGAAAATTGTGCAAATATTTTGGAAAGTCTTTTCAGTTTTCAAAATTTTGCATAAGTAGATAGCTGAAACACTTTCCATTAAAATATGAGCCGAACAATACTTTGACTTATCAGGATCAGAGTTAAGTTTCGAATTTTCTGGAAGAATCAGGTATGCTATTCATACGTTATATCCATTGATGTGTTGCAGAACTATTAACCTTATTTTTTTCTAGTCAATGTGCAAATTTTGAAGTTTTTTTCCAATTTTTGTAGTGGAAGATAGAAATATTTTGTACATGTTCATTTTTAGACATCTACAAAAAGCAGAGAAAATGCTGTGAAGACATATTTCTGTAGGATCTATTTGTAAGGAACTAAATTTCGCATCTTTAAAAAAGAATAAGATTTACTTTATTCCTAGACTGAGTTCTAAGACACTCAACGATAATGTAGGATAGGCAAGCCGTCACGGATTATTGATTTAGGTTGAAAACCGAGCTCGCATTGTCCGATCAAACCAGTCGACTGCTCTATCAATTGGACTACTCGAGTACTCTTCTATCACGAAGTTATTTCATGCATATTTACATCTTTACTCTATTACAAGTACTTATCTGTATCACAATGTTAATGTCGTTTGCCACAGAAGACAGAGACTATTTCCAAGCAAGTCTCTTGTAGCATGAGATATATTAGAACTTGTTAGCTAATACGTCATGGTAGTATAGTCTCCTCGCTGTCCCTGACATTTTCACTGCGCAAATGTAGCTCTCACAAGTAGAGAAGTCGTTATTCAAAAGAAACCCATAAAACATTGTTGTTTTTGTTTAATGAAGAAACGTAAAGATAAAGAAAATGATTCGACATTGTTTTTTTTATCCTATCACTGTTTCTACAAGACTTTTTATATGTTATCAAAAGAAGACGTTATCTTCAAGCTGGACTTTTTTCGTCGTATGATAGTGATACAATAGAACAACACGATATTTTCTGCCACTTTGCATGGCTGTCCTTGATAAATTCGATAGGCCATAGTCTATGTTTTACTTTTACGAGCGCATATTTTACTATTGCTCGACAAATTATAACTAGAAGACATCAAAAAGAATCGATCAAAACACTTTCAGAGAAGTATGAATCAAATATTGTCTTATAACTGATCATTTGTTTTTTTAGTAAATAACTACACCAAACATAGTTGCGTGTGGGTGTGGGTATGGGTGCGAATTTAGAAGAAAAGATATCCACAGCGTTCACAACCACACCCGCACCGATTCACACCTACACCCACATCCCACACCGACACCCCATCCAAAATTTTTTGTAAAAAATGCATGATTCTGACTACTATCATCATCGACTCCTTAAAGAATTTTCATGGCTTTACCAACAGTCTCTCGATAATTTAGAAAAGAATTCCTATTTCTCAGTTCTTCGATATTACAGAAATATTAACCAATTTAATATGTCAAGAATCGAATGAAAGTCATATGTAAATATAAATTTGGTGTTGACAAAGACCATCGTTCGAGAAGATTGAAATGTCAATTCGAACAATCGAAGAAAGCAGAAAATGTGAGTTTAATCCTGACAATACATTCTAATTAATTTTGGACTTACTTACCTGAACACTTGATTGTGTCATTTAAAATATAACATATTAACTTTTCTATTAAATGTCAATAAATATATATCAAGTCTCCGGAAATTCCTCAGCCGGTTTTATTTTCAGTATTTTTCAGCTGCTATAAACACTAACAAAAATCCAAATAGTAATGAAAATTATTGCTGGTTTTCTAAGAATGAGACTTCTGAAAAACTAAAAGTCACGTTTGTCAATACCTACAATTCTGTTTAAATTATCTAGAATTATAGAACGAACAAGTAGATACATTATGAAACATCTTTCAGCACTCTACGACAGTTGTGGCCCGAGATTTATCAACCTTTCAGATAGCATTAAAATGGTGTTTTTTTTCATACGAAAGAACAGAAAAAACAACTTTTGTGCTTTTCACAGGATTGACATATTTTGGTCAAAAAATGTCGTAGAGTTGAGGGTGTGGGTGTGGGTACGAATGTCGATCACTTCTTCACCCGCACCCACACCCAGTTATACGCAATGATCATTATTGAGTTCAAAACCTTTCAATATCTTGTGCCTGTTGTTTCGTTTGAATCAACAAACAAATCATCTTACCTTGTATAGATTTTATTTCAATTTGAACAATCTCGCTAAATCAAATTCGTTATGACACTGGTTATTCACTCTCCAGTACATCGGTGACCATCAAAGTGATCTCCGACTTTTGTTACGAAAAAATCTTGGTAAAGAAATATCCTTCGGGCCGGGTCGGGGGGCCTTAGCAATACCTGGGCCACTTTGGGCCAGGCCATGTTTTCGTGGCCCATTTTGAGCCCTGGAAAGAAAGGGTCTTACATTTGAAAAATGTATGTATGTTTGTCTGTCTGTCCAAGTCAATCAGAATGTAGGTCAAAGATCAGAGATTAAAGGTTACAGATCACTGATGGAGAATTTGACTAGTAGCAGGCACTATGGGGAACCCATAAGTCGTCAAGGGCTATCATATAGGGATATCCATAAGTCCTCAAAGGCGCTTCTCTGAGGGTACCGATAAGCAACAACAGTTATCCTATGCGGGTACCCATAAATCATCAAGTACCATCCATGAGCAGTACCGATAAGTCACCAAGGACTATCCGGGTTTGGTATCGTTAACTTTTCAAGGACTGTCTTGACGTAGTAACAGTAATTAAGGCTACTTACGACTAGTAAAGGATATTAAGGACTAGTTTTTTCGGGCTAGAATTTCAGGCAATCAGGTTTTTTTTTAGGATCAGGGTTTCAACTAATCAAATTTTTTCGCTAAGCCTCAGCGCATCAGATTTTTCTGGCTGGAAGTACAGCCAATCAGATGTTTTTGGTATCTAGTTCTCGTCCAATCAGATTTTTCCATGTCAAAAATTCAGTCAATCCGATAATTCTTGTACTTAGAGATCGAAGCGACTAGCCGAGAGTGGCGACCAGAGGGCGCCGACGAACGACTAGTCTCTGATCTTGAGGGTGTGAGTAAGGGTGAAAACTTCACTTTTTTGGTACTCTTTGTATTTTGAAGATCCCCCGCAACTTTGTCAAAGATGTATAGAAAGATGATATTCTGAATCAGCTCGACGAGCTCTATTTAACCATGTATAATAACAAGGAGATTAGCTTTTCTACTTGATCTTTGCATTTGGAGCACCTTATCTGGAAGAATAAAAATCAATATTGATGTGTGCATCTATGATTATGACATTTCAATTGAAGCAAAAGAAAGTAAGAAAAGAGAAATCAAATGAAACATGTCTTCGTTTGTAACTGGTAGAGTTTTCATTGAGAAAAGTAGAACTAAAGGAGCGGTTTTAATCACTTTCAATTTCCAACGTTTTGATTTATTTAAAAATCATTATTAAGGATATATTCAGAAATAAAAGATTTTCCTTTAAACTGAATGGTATAACTTTTATATTTATATACTGTACGATTCATTTCTTATTCTCTTCAGGTATTTTTCTTTTTTACCAGCTAACCTTTCTTTTCTAAAAAACAAAATAGAGAAAAAATAATTTTGTTGCACAATTATATTCTACTGTGTGTATTTCAGGTCTTCGACTATACTACCTGTTTTCTGTTCTCTCATTCTTTTCTTTGAGGTATTCTTTCGGGAAAAATGATCATCAGAACAGAGTGAGTTATACAGTTTAATTTTGATTCTAACGTTTTGATCATCAAGCTCTCCTTGATCAGCAAACAATAGGAATTTTTATCACTATCAATAACTTCAAAATTCTCCCAATCGATTTTACGTCCGATCTCAACCTCATGTTTTGCTAGAGATGATTTTATCTTAACATCATCATAATTAACCATTGTACTTGTATTGTTAATCAATAGAATTAGTTGTGAGACGGAAAATTATGTATCGCTCATTTGAGAAGACATCTGTGACACCTTTAACTGTTATTCCTGCAATGGAGGTGATCGCCGTAGAATTGAGTACGGTTTAACAGTTTTTTACTTTCGTTTTCTTTCGTAATGGATTGATCGAGTGTCGTACTTCTGCCATATGATGCTTCCTATTAGTTTCCAGGAAACCAAATGGCTTAACGGAAATCTTGAATGTGAGGGCAGAAACACACACAAGGCATCTTTCTCGTTTTTATATATGCGAAATATGCCTAAAGAAATTTCATTCTCTCTCAGAAAACTGATTTTCTCTCCAGGAAACTGGTTTGGTTTCCCGGAAAGTTGTTTGATTTCCAATTATGCCTATTATGCCCATTATGCCCAGTTCCAATAAAATGGGAAAAAATGAGTTTCCTGGAAACTAATAGAAAGCATCAAATGCATTTTGCTGTATAGACAATGTCTGACTGAGGATGTTTCAGTATTTTGTTTTTCAATTGAAAGAATGTTTGAGATGACTGCGGTGTTTTCGAATAAAAACATAGATTAATATCAGATCGAATTTTGTTTGCAAACACCATCAGTTTTCTGTTTAGAACATCCGTACTATCACCGACATATGGCAACTCAAAAAACATTTTCTTTTTCGCTAGTCCTATCGTCGTGTTTATTATTTTACCATTGCCCTTTTCGAGCCATTTTGTCAGAACAATATCAATATGTATGTTCATTTTTATCGAAATGTTGGAAATTGAAAATGATTAAAACCGCTGCTTTAGTTCTAATTTTCTTTATGAAAAATGTCATTTGAAATTTTTACATGATATTTATTTTAGCATACTATTATTGTACTATATTTACAGTTAATGAATATTGTTTTTCCACTTATCTTCTGTAATGTTCAATCATTTATTTACTGTTTCTATTCTTGCCTTCGCTTGTCAACAATTTCAACCATGCCATAGCGAAATGCTTGTTTATAATCAAACGTTAGATCATTTTAATTATGATCCACTTCATCGTAAATTCGGACAACGCTATTCAATATATGATAAATTTTGGGGTGGATGTGGTGATTATCCAATATTTTTTAATGTTGGCCCAGAAACACCACTTTACGAACTATATTTTCCTGGTACAAATCCATATGATCTTGCTGTAATTTTTCAAGCTATGATTGTTAGTTTAGAGCATAGATATTATGGGGAAAGTTTACCATTTGGATCTAATATACTAAATTATACAAGTAACGAATTTCAATATTTATCATCAAAACAATATATGGAAGATATTGTTGAATTTAGACAATTTGTTATTAATAAATATAATTGTTCCACTAGTAAATGGATTAGTATATCAGGTTCTTATCCTGGCTTAATTAGTGCATACTTACGTTTACATTATCCTTTTTATTTTATTGGTGCAATTGCTATTGCTTCACCTGTGCAAATTGCAAAAGCATCTAGTAAGCACATTACGATCTCGCTTTTTGTTTTCTCAATTTTCTTTATTTGTATCTTTTCTGTTCTTTTTTTTTGTCTGTTGTAGCTGTAAGTTGGTTACCAAACTTTGCTAGTATTATTGGTCCAGATTGTACCGTTGCGTGGCGTTCGATAGCTAAACAAGTCGAAGATTTATTAGTAACATCATCGGGACGTGATCAATTAAAGCAAATGTTTTCCTATATTTTATCGGTAAATGGTATAAGAGAAAATGATGAACTATCATGGATGGAATTCTTAATAGATGTGGCAAGTATTTTATTTTATCCAATGGGATTTAATCCTACTGTTGGTCCTACTATATTTCCCCGTTCATATCCTGGTACATATATTTGTCAAAATATAAGTTCGAGTGATTCTTCAATGGTTTTAATGAATTATGCGACATTAGGTAATGAAACATGTGTGTATCAACAGTCAATTGGTGTACCTTGTCCAGTGCCATTCGCAGGATCATGGTATCAATGGCAACGATGTACAGAATTTCCATCACCTTATTCTCCATTATTGTACGATACTAATGCAGATATATTTAGTAAATATATTAATTTGGATAATTTATTTCGAAGTTGTCATCAAACAATGGGATCAGGTATTGGAAACTTGGATGATTTTATTTCTATTGGAGAACGTTGGGCTGGTTCGGCATCTTGCAATAATAATTTTGATTCATATGTTAATGTTGGAAACTTTTATTTTGCTGTAGGCACATTTGGTAAGAAGTAGCTACATAAAGGCGATAATAAGAGTGTGACCAGAGAACGAGATATATGTAGGTTTGTAGAGAAAGACTTCCTCTATCTAATGGTGTATGCATTATCAAGTTCTATTGTGTACCATTGAAACGTCGATAAAGGGCACCACCTTCACTGCATTCTTGCATGACGAAGGTAGCGCTCTCTATCGATGTCTCAAACGATATGCAATAGAATTTGATAATACATACACTATTAGATAGCGGAAGTCTTTCCCTACACACTCATGTATATCTGCTTGTCTGATCAAAAATCACCGTGCAACTTACAATCGCCTTTATATTCCTTGATCTTTATTCTATTGTTTTGTTGTTATAGATCCTACAGTTACTTATTTACCAACAACAAATCTTTCACGAACAATAACAGGTCGAATTGTACCTGACACTGGTCATGCATTATTATTAAATCGTCTATGGTATCCTAATAATTCTTATGTTGATCAAGCTTTTAATGAACTTGTTGAACAAATTAAAATATGGCTAAATATCAATGTTACTAGTACTGATCCTTCATGTACATCTGATTCATCCTCTCAATTTAGTTATGTATGGGTCACCATTATTAGTTTTGTTACTGTGATTACCTCAGCAATCTTCTGTTGAATATTATGAAACAAGAAAAATTCAGAAATGGAATTTCTTAGTATGAACAGTCGTGCTTGACTACACATATACTCCTTTTTTGTTTTTAATTTGGTTTGAAACGTTATGCTGTCGTTTCTATCAGATTACGTATGTATATTTTGCTTTGTGTAGATTTAACCATGTTTTTATAATACAAATAAAATTATGGTAAAGCTACCCAGGTGAAAAACTCGGACGTCAGAACGTACAAGGTCTTATAAGATCTTACTCATGCAGGATTTTTTTGTACAATCCTGACATAAGATCCGATAATATCGTATGGACTCATTTTTTAAAAGATTTCGTTAGATTCTGAATGAAAGATGCCAACAAAAATCTTACAAGAATTACATGATACAAAACGTATAAGAACAGCTATAACGATACCAACCTGATCATATACGATCATACAAGTTCTATCATCAAGGAAGCATATAAGGCAAGGGGGGAAAAGCAGATTTTGGCTTTCAAAATCTCTCAAAATCTTAAAATTAGAAGTGGATCATTTACATAGGGCACTACAAAAGTTTTTTCATACGGTTCTTCTAGAAGTCGTAATTTCAGGACATCTATTCTATTATAATGCCTAAACATATTTAGGATTATGTACAAAATTTCAGACTTCCACCTTTTACCCATCGTTGTATTTTTTCATTTCCTTCGGATCACCCTCACATCATTTTCGATGGGTGTTTAACTCTCACGTCAACAATTTCGCACTATGATTTTATATGACTGGAAAATTGGTTTAACATACAAGGAAAGCCATGCCCGTTTGGTGCAAGCATGGGGGACCAAGCACCTTCTTATCATACAGTCTTCAATTGGTTTCGTGAATTCTAACGAAATAATTTTAGTGTTGAAGATGCTGCCCGTCCAGGTCGTCCTCAAACATCTGTCAACGAACAAACAATTGATGCTGTACGAACAATAATTAACAATGATCCTCATTCAACATACCAACAAATAGAAGACATCTTGGGTATTAGTTCGCCAGCAATCAATTCAATTATTCATGATTATTTGAAGCTACACAAAGTTTGTACTCTGTGGGTGCCACATCAGCTAACTGATGGCCAAAAACAGTGGAGCATTCAATTTTGCTGTCGTTCACTGAATAGATTTGAAGAAGGTCAATCCCGTCGTGTATTTGACACTATAACTGGCGATGAATCTTGGTTCTATCATTATGATCCAGCAACAAAAGAGGAGTCAAAAGTTTGGGTGTCAAAAACTGATCCTCGTCCAACAAAAGTTCATCGAAACAAAAGTTCAGGCCAAATAATGGTAGCTGTCTTCTTTATGAAATCTGGTTTAATCAAGTCAGTACCATTAGAAACTGGTGTTACACTATATGCAAGATGGTATGTCAATCCCTGTCTACCACAAGTCTTCAAAACTGTATCAAAACGAAGACCAAGAAGCGGTCTTCGAGGTCTCATTCTTCATGACGATAATGCAAGATCACATCGAGCTTGGATTATCAACAATTTTTTGGCCAAAAATCGGGTTGGTGAATTTTCAGCACGAAACGTTCAGCACTAGGAATAATCAGTACGCGAACGTTCATCATGAAAAACCTCACTGTGAGGCTCTTGATCTGGGTAAGAGCGTGGTTGCAGGTGCCAGATCGGTGTTGGCGTGGCAATGGGTATGCCTGTCTATGTGCGGATCAGATCAGTGTATTTGTAACTCATCTTCATCCACACTCAGATCGGCACCAAAACCCACCAACACCTAAATCTCCATCTATCGCTTCTCCCATAACCGCATCCACACTCACATCTACACTTATTATCGCACTCGCATGCACTCGGCACCCACAGCTACACCCTCACCCATACTAAGACCCTTACGCTCAGGTTTTTAGTGATAACGATTTGTGTGCTGAAAATTCAGCGTGCTGATTATTCCTAATGCTGAAAATTTCGGTTCCCACAGTTATTTAATGGAAATACATTCATTCCATATGATATATAGCTGCTTGACGACAATATAGATAATCGAGAGATAATATCTTTTCCAGCATTTAAATATTCATTTGATGAAATATAGATAAAGAAAGGTAACCCAATGCAATTATGCTTGCTTCACGTTGCTTAAAACGTTGATTTGGATCTCGTATAATTTTACTTAATTCATCAAAATTTACAATGTTCAATTGATTTTTTAAGAAAACCATATGCGGCTATATTTTTTTCTAGGCTTCTTTTTGTTCTAAAATATAGGATCTGTCGGCAGACAAAATGGAATGCAAACGATGATCAATATTTAGAAATATTTCTTAGCAATATTCTTTTATTATAAATGATCGTGTAGAATACGTAAATTACAAATATAAAAAAAACTTCTAGAGAATCAAAAAAATCCAAATATGGATAAAAGAAGTTTTAAATGAGTATAATCTTATGCGAAAACATCAACGCTATATCGATCAAGAGAAATTTCTTCAAGAATTTTTGCTGCTTCTTCTTCGTCACATTGTTTAATTTCTGCAATAATCTTGGTGAAACATGTTTTGACTGATGCACCAACTTTTTTGGCACTTCCACAAGTATAAAAGCGTGCACCATTACAATATAAATTGGCAATTTCATTCCGATCTTCCCAAAGTAAATCTTGAACATATTTATTTTTATTATTTGCTTGACGAGAAAAAACAGATTTAACTTGTACTGCACCAAGTTTTGACCATTTATCAAGTTCATTTGAATATAAAAAATCTTCATCTGATCGACATCCATAATAAAGAATTGTAGGTCCAATTTCTCTTCCACATACTAATTGCGCTGCTCTTTCTTGAATAAAAGCACGAAATGGCGCAATTCCCGTTCCAGCAGCAATCATAACAATAGGTACCTTTGTATCTTCAGGTGGATGAAATCTAACATTACTTGCTCGAACACTACAACTGACTTGATCACCTTCTTTTAAATTTGCAAGATAATTTGATGCAACACCAATGTATTGTCCAGATCCACTTAATGCTGGAGTATTAAGTATATCAAATGTAAGTGTAACTACTTCGGAATTCCATAAAGGTGAAGAAGAAATACTATATTGACGAACACGAAGTGATGGAAGCATTCGAAGATATTGTGCAAATGAAAGTTCACATGAAGAATATAATTCAAGAATATCTAATATACTAAGACGTTTATTTAGGATTTCGATTTCATATGCATCTCCACCAAGATTGTTGAGTTGCATTTGTTCTTTTTCATTTTTACATAATGCAGCAAGGGTTTCAACTTGTTTTTTGCTGATCGGTTGAGCTAATTCAACATAACCACTTAAAATATCAAATGCACTAACTGGATAATTAGTTGGAAAGAAAGTATTTGTAGAAGAATGAATTTTAACTTGAGTATCAGTAGATAAATTGAATCGTTTGAGAACTCGATAGACAATTTCAATCGGATTCGATGGTAATATAGCAAGATAATCACCAGTATGATAAGTTTGTCCTTTTGGAAGTTTTATCTCGAGATGTCTTATTGTTAGTACAATTTTATTTGCTTCGACTAGAACTTTGTTTTTAAGGAGAATACCAGAATCAGTTATTTGTCCAAAATTTCTTTTTGAATTAACAATTTCAATAGAAAGTTTTTCTTCACTAATAACGTTTTGTTCATCAGTGTCTTTTCGTAAAACTTGAAAAAGATTTTCTTTCCAACTTTCAAATGCTCCATAAAAATCACCAGCAGAATCACCAGCACCACGTTCAATAATTCTTTTCCCTCCATTCTTTTCAATCATTTCATCAATATAAATTGGAATTTTTTGATATGTATTTACCCAATCATGATGACCCGCTCCAAATACAGCATAATTTATTTCTAGTTTAGGTTTCGATTCAAGATAAGCGACGAATTGTTTGGCATTTTCACATGGTTTACCTTCATATGAAGCCGTAATGATGATTATAGGTTGATCATTCGGAAGAGAACCAACAGTAGAATCAAGAGTAGCCACAGTAGCATTGTAACCATAAAGAGGTGCTTCAGATGCTAATGTTTCTGCAAAAGATTCACATGAACCAGAATTACTACCAAAGAAAATAGCCATTGGTCGAAGATGTTTTGTATCACTTTTTTGTTTAACTTTTTTTTCAGATTGTTTGATATTTGTATCAAGTGAAATTTCAAGTTGTTGCCGTGATCGAACTCGTATTTTGAAACCTTCAGGTTTAATTGTTAATGTTTGTTTAATACGAAGATCATAAGATGGATCAACAAATTCAATATTAAAATGTTTAAGAACAAGTGCCATAGCAAGAAGACTTTCTTGCCATGCAAACGGTCGACCAATACAAGATCGTTGACCATTACCAAATGGTTTCCATGAATTCGGTGGAAGATTTTCAAATCCACCATTTAACATTCGTTCTGGAAGAAAATCTTCTGGTCGATCCCATACTTTTGGATCACGATGTAATTTATGCAAAACAACTATAATAGAATCGTCTTTGTGAAGTTCATAACCACCAGGTAGAATAACGCTGTCTTCTTTTGATTGTAAAATAAATCCTGGTGCTGTAGGTTGTAATCGAAGTGTTTCTTTTAATACTGCATCAATATATTTTAATTTGCTTAATGTATCAACTGTAATTTCACCATATTGATCAACTTCTGTTTGTGCTTTCTGTAAAGTATGTGGATTTTTAAGAAGATAATACAAAGCAAATGAAAGTAAACCAGATGTTGTTTCATGTCCAGCAACTAAAAATGTAAGCATTTGATAACGAATATTTTCATCAGATAATTGATAACCACTTTCTGGATCTTTACCATTGATCATTCGATTAAGTAAATCTTTCACATCATTTGGATGTTCTCGTCTTTGTTTAATAATTTCATCGCATAGACTATGAAGATATGCAATTTCATTATTATACCAACGCGTAGTTGTTACCATAAGTGTATTTTGTAAAGAAAATCGTTGAGCACGTCGACCACTTTCAATAAGAACGTTAATCATTGCTTCAATGAAACGATGCATTTTATTTTGATAAAAACTATTAAATCGATAATTAAAACTGCATAGAGCAATTGTATCCAAAGTTAATCGCGTGAAATTATCACAAACATCAATTTCTCCGGGAAAACGTTCCCATCGAAGAATAAGTTGTGAAGATATATCCATCATAGCTGGAAACATATCTCGAATTGCTTGTGGTCCAAAAGCAGGCATTAGAATTTTATGAGCAAGTTTCCAATTTGGTTCTGAAGTATGGGCAGTAAAAAGTCCATCACCGCCTGCGTTTCTCAGTTCTAATAAACCTGAAGCAATTTTTTTATCGAATTTTGATTCATCACATACGAAATTGACGAATTCGTGACTAGATACTACTACGATATTTGTTTTAAAAATAGTCAATCGATAAATATCACCGTACAGTTCTTGCAGTCTCTGAAGTGATTCAGAAAAACGATCGGGATCTAATTCTTTGAGATTGCCAATCAAAAACGTTTCTTGAGGTTGTGGAATTGATTTGCTCATGATGATTGTTCACGTATGACAATTAATTATATTATCTAGTGATTAGTGTTCTGAAACATAGATAATTCGTATATTGTTTCTAATGACAAAGATATCATTAGAAATACAGAATTGTTCCCAGATCAAACAATCAGACGTAAGAGTTCGTAAAAGATCAAATACTGGAATCTGCCTGAAACGGTGTATAACAGAACTCGCCTTCATTTATGTGGCAATTCCATATTTAAAGGAGAAATTCAGTTTTTTTTTTAATAAAAGCAGAGATTTAATTTATCAAATTATCTATGGATACACAGGGAATATACTGATAAATGGGTGCGATGATACATGTATGCCTATACAGAGACAACCAGGTATAGTTTTATATCAGTATAAAAGAACAATTGGTAAAATCAGGAATGTGGTATTAAAATTAACACTAATTTTAATACTTTAGCATTAGACATAAAGTTAAGTCTAATACATTTTGGTATCATTGTGCATTAGCGTTATTAATGCTCATGTGTTAATGTTAAACTAGGATTATTTTTAATGTTAATTAATATTGATAAATATGATGTAGGTTTTCTCCAACCATATAATCTCTTGTATCATCTCTATATGAAAATTTTTTCTAATAAATTTTCCTGATATTGATACAACATACTTTTTCCTCTCAAATCAGACTCAAGTAACTGTCTACTCATGAACTGAAAGGTTTCCCATTGAAAGGGATGCTCTATTAACAAAGCTCAAAGAGTTCATTGCCTCTAAAGGGAAAAGATATGTCATATCAATATCAGAGAAATTTTTTAGAAAAGATTTTTATATAGAGAAAATAGAAGAGATTACATACTTGAAAATCTGTTACACTTAACTTTAAGTCTAATGAGAAACTATTAGTATTTTCTTATTACTAATACTAATCTGACACTCATAGATAAGATCATAAAGCTTTAGTTATATAGTGTTAATTAAAAATAACGTAGTATCAAGTTGGGGATATAATTATATAGGCTAAGGAGGTAGGGGTATAGTTTTCATAGCTTAAGGATATAGAGGTAAGGGTACAGGCATAAGGGAATAGTTTTAAAGGGATACAGAGATATATTGGGCGATATAGATATATCAGTATACAAATATAAAATGCAAAAATGAATTGAATTAGTCACACGAGTTAGTATAGTGCAAGAGTCTGTGATTAATCTTACTGTCTGATTGTTTGACTTGAGTAGTGAAAAGTTTAAAGAATATTTTGCAGATGTAAATTGAAAATTTCCTTCTGATCAGATAAAAAAGTGTCGTTATTACACACACACATATCTATGTCAAGTAACTACACGATCATTCTAACTCTAAGGAGAATTTATCTATATTCTAAATGAAACTTACTCGAAGTTTTATTGACAAAAAAGAATTGTTGACAGTGCACCTTTATTCGTTGCTTCACGAGTATAACAACTGTTACTGCCTTTTTATATGTCGTTTTTTTCATTCTATTTGAATGTGTCGCATACAAAAAGTACGTGCAAAAAGTATGTGTACGCACAAAAAATGCGTTAACCTTCAGTACTTTTTGTTCTGTGTAAGATTGTTTGAGTCAGGAAGAAAAGAGTAGTGTCAAACTCGAAAGTTGAATTCAAATATTCAACTATTGCTTCAACTATACAACTATTGCTGCCACCGTGGGGTTTTGCCCTCCCCCTCAAGTATTGCAAATATTTAAATACTTTAATTGAATATTTGAATACTTTAATTGAGTATTTGAATTATGGGTGTCAATTTAAATTTACTTTTAATTTAATTTACGCATAAATTAAATTACCGGTAATTTATATTTATTTTAAATAAACAGGAAAATGATATCCCTAATTTGAATTGAACTTTCAAGTTTGACACATATGGAAGAAAAATACATGTGCGACTATCAATGTCTTTTTATATTCATATAAATTAACAGTAACATTCTAAACTACTATTCTATATTAATGGATGCCCCATAATAAATGGCCGGTTTTTGTATTTCACTTTTTTACTACTGAATAAGTTTTATTCGAAAACAAAATGTACCACAAGATGCAGCAGGAAAAGCTCTAAATTTACAAAGAAAAGTTTATTTTAATTGTGCACTTTGTGTTTCGAAAAAGAACAAAATACTATACAATCAATTTTCAACGCTGCGAAAAGATCATTTTTTCTTCTATACGAATAATTTCTTTTTTCGTACTTCATCTTTTCATCACCTAATACCTTTTATTAAAAAAAAACAATATATAGTACAAGATACAGCGTAGCGCCGGAACCAGTTGAAAAATTGTAAATCGGTCCGGTCCAGCCGGTTGGAATCACATGAGCAACCGGAGAAAACAGGCGAAAAAATGGCGAATTTTTTTGAAAAACGATTTTAAAAAAATGGCTTTAAATATGAAATAGTTTAGGAGCGCATGTAAAAGACACTCATCATAATGAATCTTTTTATAGAGAACCTCAGAACAAATGATTAAAATAACACATGTTTTGAGTACTTTTTTACCCATTCTGACAGAAGAAATGTGACACCTTAGTTTTTATGGCCAAAAACAGGATTAACAAGAAAGATTTTTCAAAACTTTCAACCGGCGAATTTCCGGTTTTTACCGGCCCGGTTGACTTTCTAAACCGGTCCGACCGGACCGGTACTGGTTTGCCGGACCGGTTCCAGCCTTGATGCAGCGTGAAAAGCTCTACAATCTACACAAGACCACTTTTTTATAGCTGCACTTTTTGATTTCAAAATGGTCAAAACTTTGAGCGACCAAATTCCAACCGTGCGCAAACTACATTTGTCTTGGCTGAAGATCAATTCGTTTTTTCTTGTTTAATCTTTTTGTAATTGTTTTTGTAAATTGTAGGGCTTTTCACACTGCACCTTGTGGTGTACTTTTTTGTTTTTAATAAAACGTATTTAAAGATTAAAATATGCAATGCAAAGTGTAGCCATTTATTATGGGTCATCCGTTAGATCATCGACACTATTGTGTCACAATTCTTCATCCTGACTATCGTACTTAATGTGGTTGTTCTATAGACGAGAAAATGGCATGCCATCAATATATTCTTGAACAACTGAAGATCATCCATCAAGAAACAGGCAACAATGATGTCGAATCACAAAAACGTAAACGATTTAAATCTGGTCATTCATCTATTTTGGAAGATTTTGAAGATGAACCAGAAGCAACTGATGATGATGGCAAGAGTGTTGAATTTTCGTCACCAATTACTCAATCTGTGAATTGAACAAGTACAGTAGATTTTCATAAATCTGTCGGAAAAATTTTACCACTTTTTGTTTCAATTAGTGTGCAACTATTACACATCCGATCAAAAATATTTTTATATTTAGGTATCTCTTTCAAATGATATATTATTGGTCTTTCATTTTTCG